CCTTGGCACTAAGGCAGTGACTTCACCGCCCAGAGCTGTCAAGACCAAGATCGACTGGAGGCTCTACCACCAACACCTGCAGGAGAGACCTCCAGTCCATACACCGATCAACTCAGCGGACGACGTAGAGGCCGCTGCAACCAGAATATCCACGTGCATCAAGGAGGCCCTCAACGCGGCCTCTACGATCGTCCCTCTCACGGGAAGGAAAGAGGAGCTGCCGCTTAAGATCCGAGTGCAGCTAAACCACAAAAGAGCGCTGAGGAAGCTCTGGGCGCGTACTCGCTGCCCTAGAGTAAAAAGGAGACTCAACACCTTGTCAGACGAACTGTCGGTTGCAATACAGGCCCACAGAGGAGAGGCCTGGGAGCGGCGCATATGGAAGGCAGACGAACAGCACGCGTCGCTCTATACATTGAACCGACAGTTAACGAAAACTCGACCACCTGTTTGCCCGCTGACTAACAACGCGGGCATTCAACGTTACGATGCCAAGGGCAGAGCGGATATCCTAGCTGAGCACTTCCAGGAGCAGTTTATGTCGAACCCAGCAAGTGCGGAGTTCATGGAAATCCATACCCGGAAGGAGAGCCGCGTGCAGGAGCTCCTGTCGTCGCCCGCGCCACTGCTTGCAGGAGAGTGGTTTATATCCCCCCGCTGAATTGCGGAGGACAGTAACCCGCCTGCAACCGAGGAAGGCGCCGGGGCACGACGGGATTACCAACGCTGCACTACGACAGCTGCCCAATAGAGTCCTTGTAGAGATAGGTCGGCTCTACAACGGCATATTGCGGACATCCCACTTCCCGGAGGACTGGAAGAAAGGCAAAGTCATCGTCTTGCCGAAACCCGGGAAGGACAGGCGTAGAGCTGCCAACTACAGGCCGATCACGCTGCTACCGCATATAGCTAAACTGTGCGAAAGATTACTGTTAAGACGTCTCCGCCTGTGCATCCAACTTCGGGCGGAGCAACATGGATTCAGGAGGGGTCACTCAACAGCAACACAGCTGACCAGAGTGCTGCACCTGCTTGCGGCCGAACACAACCGTGGCCGCATATCGTTGGGCGTCTTTCTCGATATCGAGAAGGCGTTCGACCGGGTGTGGCACACAGGATTACTCTACAAGTTAGACGTACAAACAAGTATCCCTCCTGCTATATTGCGGCTAGTGGCGTCTTTCCTGGAAGACAGGAAGTTCTAGGTCGCGTAGGACGCCGTGTCCGCAATAAAGACCATAACAGCTGGTGTGCCACAGGGCAGCTGTCTGTCACCAGCCCTGTACGCGGCGTACACAAATGACATCCCTATCCTGGCAGGACATTTGCACGAGTGGGAGGACGACGTCGAATTAGCGCTTTTTGCGGATGACAGCGCATACTTCACGTCGTCCAGAAGAGCCCATATTGCAGCTGCCAGGATGCAACGTCTGCTGGACCTGCTGCCACCATGGTTGGATGAGTGGAGGATGGCCGTCAATGTTAGCAAGACGACCGCTCTACTCACTCGCCGCTATAGAAATCTACCACCACCGCTAACCCTCGGAGGCCTGGAGATCGCATATGAGAAGGCCGTGACCTACCTTGGATGTCGGATTGACAGGATGCTGCGTATGACTGCGCACGTCGACTCTGCTATACGCAAAGCTCGATGTGCGCGGGCAATGCTCCGCCCTGTCCTGACATCCAAGTTACCGACAAAGCCGAAGTTAACTATCTATAAAACATACATAAGACCCCTGCTAACATACGCTGCTCCGGCCTGGTATGCACTCCTGAGCGATCATCAGAAGCGGCGACTTCAGGCCCAGCAGAGTTTGTCATTACGAACCATAGTCGGAGCGGGTCGCTACGTCCGTAACGACGTTATAGCGGCCAACTTGAAGATGGAGAGCATGCATGAATTCGTGGTCCGGCTGGCGCGCGGTATGCTTGACCGTGCCGACAACGGGCCACATGAACACCTCAACGGCTTCGCGCCGTTGCATGCAAGGCCGCCGGACGGGCGACCCTATCCAAGAGAACTCCTCCCTATATAGATTAGGGAGTTTGAGTAAATCCCACAATGCCGCAGAAAGGCCAACTTAGACAAGTAATTTGTGTTAAACACAAATTACGAGATAACCTACCTTAATGAAAAATTTAACCGACCGCGACAATAGTCGTCAAACAACGCCTTTACCATCAAGGCGCCCAGGACCGGCACACTGTAGTGTGCCGTGAGGAACATCCGGGTAAAGGGGTACACCCCGAGGCCCGAGACCTGCACGGCATTATGCCCTGCAGAGGACAACAACGACGAGGGAATAGAGAGTGCACCTGTGCTTGCGCATACACTTAGGCACTATAATCCTGTCCTGCGCCGATGGCTAGCCTCCGCAGAGGCAGGCCGCCGTGGCCGTAATTCGGTCTGGAGGACATTATTATTATTATTAGTGCATATTGTTCAATAATAAACGATCATCTAATAGAGTACAGACCCTTAAGAACACAGTACAAAAAATGATTATACATTGATCGCTCGGATCGCTATGGGAAAAATTGTTGTAATAGCCTGCTTATTGGCAGAGAAAAAAGAAAATAATATTCAAAGAATAGGAGATTCTGGATTCATAATATTAATTTATAAGGGCAGTTGTATGGAGAATATTATACTTTATTTAAATACTTATTAGATGATGATTAACAATTTTTCAAATATTTGCATTTAACATACAAGAAATTTCAAGATACTACATATACTAAAACCATATATCTCTAAGGAATACTCAAGATTTAGAAGGCCAAATAAACCAGAGGAAAGACTTGTTGTATGTTTGAGGTAATTATTTTTATTGATAATTAATTAATCAGATATAATTGGGACTTTGAATTAAAATTAATTATCAATTTTATTGTATTTAAATTATTTAGTCGCTAAGTATGCATATTGATAATCAATGCAGTTTTTTTTTCAAATTATGTATAATTAATTACAAAAATTGCATAAAAACCTCTGTCCTGGGAAGAATCAGCAAGAAACCCAGCGAGACTATTTTTTTAATCATCCTGTGAAAATTATTCCAACGTCTATGATACGAAACGAATGTGATCTCATACAGGGCTTTTTCACAAACGGTTCTCCTACGTATATAATAAATGAATTCGCGCTTATTGTTCTTTCAGGATATCAACTTATTGAAGTACCAAAATGTTGTTTACTTCTCCTTGACTTGTTGTATGTTTGAGGTAATTATTTTTTATTGATAATTAAGTAATCAGATATAATTGGGACTTTGAATTAAAATTATTTATCAATTTTATTGTATTTAAATTATTTAGTCGCTAAGTGTGCATATTGATAATCAATGCAGTTTTTTTTTCAAATTATGAATAATTAATTGCGTATTAATTAAAAGTTATAAAAAGTCTCGTGTGACGGCGAATTGTTGCCAACACAGTAAAGGAAAACGCTCCTGAAAAGAAGTAAAAATATATTTCAAAACAAAAGTCGAATACCCAGTTTTATTGGAAAATCCATTAAGTTGGCAACATTAGACAACACTGAGTATCAGCACGCGCTGAACGACTCAATTTCATCGAAATAATTGTCGATACTTATCTTGAATGTCTATAATGAATGGATAGACAGCCCAACACACTACAAGAATTGGAATAAAAATAAATGCTCGATTTGCGTTGTAATGACATAACTTTATTTTGACTTTTACTTACTAAACTTACTTAATTTCCGACATGTTTTTTGTGTTTAATGCGCCACAATTTAGACCAAGATGTTTTATTAATAATTGTAATTATTTTTGTTTAAAATAATAATATGAAATTTTCTGCTGGTGAAATAAAAAACGGTAGTAGGTACATAATGTCTGTTATATATTTCATAAAAGTAGTTACCTATTTATAATAATAATAACATGCTCGTATGAGTAAGCACTGGTGCAGAGTGCACTATTCCTTCACTCTCATAGTCCGATGGGACGATAAACCGACACAACCAGAAAGAGATGTGAGAGAGTGCTTTTCGAGGCACGGGGGTAAGACACCGCCAACTTCCTGACTCTGGGCAGTTAATAAGATTTTTTTGACAGAAAAACGCAATAACTGATTTTTTGGCCCGACTCGGGATTCGAACCCGGACATCATGATCAGCAGTCGCATTAACTATCGCTAGACCAACGAGGCAGTCAACCTTAACTGTTTTATTTTATAGAAGTTAAAAAAGAAATTTCGGGGAAAACCTGTCCATAACAGTAAACAATTTTCTCCAAGGGTCCATAGCTTAAAAATACAACTTTATCATTGGTTTCTTTGGCAAATTGTTTAATTTTATGGGCAAACTCATCTCTTCAAAAATTACTGGAATTTTGTACATTTTGGTATTAAAATCCAACAAAAGACACGCTTAGCGTTTAACTAAGGCCCGGGAACATGTTTTTGGAAAAACTAAAGTATTATGATTATTACTTATTTTAATATTATTATAGTAAAAAGTAAGTTAATTTTTGAAGTTATTCAGTTTTGTATACTAAACTAAGTTTTTGAACCGTTTGCCCCCTCCCTTAGCCCTTCCAGTTCCAGCAGTATTGAGATCGCACTGCAATCACTTATCGATAGCCCTTATAGGTAAAATATACATCACTAGCTAACACACACAATGGCAATTCAAATTTTTTTACGTGTTATCGGTCTGTCAGGTCGTCTATGTGCTATATTATATGTACTCAACATTAGCAAAGAGAACCTTCTTTCGCAATAATTTCAATTATTTTTTATTGGTATTGACTTTCTTGAATCTACTATCTATCATGGTATAGAAATGTCAACGTATCCAAATGTGCTTTATAAACTGAAATAAAATAAATGGTTTATCAATGTTTTGTTTATTATTGTCACTATTTACGTTTGTTTGCTTAATAGAAAATTCTCCTGAGGTGCAAAAAGATGGCGATAAACTAATTCTACAGCCCGTAGAACTAATTGACCTTGTAATTCAAGAACAGATGAGAAAAAATGTGCCCGCCATTCGACGTCGTTTCAAGGAAAACGTAAAGCCAATTACTACGGAGTATAGTGAAATAGACAAATGGACAGGTACAAAAATTACGTAAATCGTCGAATATTATGATATAATATCTAAAACCTTATTCTGTCATAAGGTATGTAAGCTTTTCGCTGTATGGTCGCACCGTAAAAGAATTCTACCTATATATGTTTATACCTTGGATGTTCAAGGGCAATTGCATGCTGAAGTGCTAGCAACGTCGTAGCTAAAGCATTATACAAAATGTGCAATGCAGACATTTACCAGGAGCATATTTTGCCAGTACAAATTCTCGTTCGTCAAAATTGTGCCTTAAATTATGTTATAATACTTCTACGTGTATGTACTGTATGTATGAGTGGCTAAGAGTGCTGCAGACTTTACCATTTTCTCATAATACTTTATTAAATCAATAGTTACGAAATTTATATACCTAATCACCTTCAGATTTTTATTCCTCGTTTGGTTTTTGGAAATGGACACACATTTTCAAAAATACGTAGGTATATAATAGTAGAGGAAAATGTTTCTTGGTATTTTGTTTGTATAAAATTAAAGAAAAATCTCTTTGGTTGTAGTGTTTGTATCCATCTGGTTTAATTATCAACACATATAGGACATTAGGAAAAATAAAATTAAAAAGTAAAAAAAATACTTTCCTGACATTTTTCAATTTGACAATTTTCGAAGAAATTTGATACATTTTTTAACACAAGTTTTGTATAAAAATGCATAGTTTTACGAGCTTGGGTTTCGTGACAGTTAAAACTGCCGATTGAATTACCAAAATTGACACTTTAATTACCGAGCGCCAATTACAACTTAAAAATACAATTCGCCGTTGTATCGCTTCGAAGTATTCGCTTGAATCGCCAATTCAATACTGACCCGATCGCGGTCCTTACTCCTTACTGGCCATATATAGGGCTTTTTCCACTAAAACATATAGAATGTTTGAGCATATACCGATCCCGACTGACTAGGAGTAGAATGTTCTAGTATGGAATTCTCTAGAAGGATTAGTTCTGGCTTCTGGTTATACCAAATTATATTCTGTAATCTGTACGTAAGTATAGTAAATAAAGTAAATAACAACAATATAATAGATAATTTCCGATGGTGTTACTCTTACAACTTCATTCGTATTCTGAAATTGTTTACCTGCACGATACCGCCTGTGATATTACTAATAGCAAATGACTTTTTGAATATAAATAAGGTATAATAAAACTAGGATTTTATCGCGCATATCAACTTTATATTTCCGACGTTTCGAGCACTTCACCCATGGTCACGGGGGGACTGAGGTATTCGACGTTCCAATGTCATAGTTAACCATGGCTACCTCGAGATTAAAATTGTTAATTTTTGTTCCGATCAACGCAGTATGAGCTTATAGTATCTTGAAGTCTTGCTGTTATATGCTTGGATTGGCATTTAATTTTATTAATTGTAGGATCCCAAGCAGATGGTAGCAACCAGCTATATTCCCTATTGAAATTAACATGTTTTTTTATTCCAATTGCCTCGCGAATCAGCCTTTGAAGGAATCGGTGTTCTTTAGCGAGAATTTGTGTTCTATCAAATCTGATGTAGTTACGGGGATATCCTGTACTTGTTCACAGACTGCTGACTTCCTAGAGCGGCGATCCTTAACATTGGCTATGTGTTCAATAACGCTAGTTTTTATTGATCTTTGAGTCGGTCCTATGTAATAGAGACCACATTAAAAATCAAACTTTTACACTCCTGCATCTTCCAGAGGGATTACACTTGACTGATGGTAAAAACTGAAAAAAATTTCTTCGGTGGCTTGAAGTATGTTTAATGAACCATGCTTCAAGATGTAACCAATCTTGTCAGTGACACCTCTGACATATGGCAGTACAACATGCACTCGCAACACTTGCTTGACGTCTTGGAGCTCGGCGGCCGGGTGTTTACTGTCACAGATCCCTAGAGCTCTCTAAAACAAATATAATATAAATAACAAAACGCAGAAATAATCAATTTTCTCCTTAATAAACTATAGTTTTTATGTCTGTAATAGTAATTTAATAATTTGTTTAATTTAGTGAATAGTAGCGGCGATGAGGAGCGACTACGCGCGCGTAAGGTTTGGAGCCGTTGGGGCAAATGGAGTGACTGCTCCGCTTCGTGTGGAGGAGGCTCTATAATCCGTCGTAGACTTTGTGTCGCTGGGAGATGTGCTCCTGGAGAGTTTGAAGAGCAGCGAAGACCCTGTGCCAAAGCGCCTTGCGCTCCGTCTGCTGACGTAATTGCTTCTGATGATCTGCGTGAAACTGAATAACTTTTGAAAATTTTACAATTGAAATGAATGCATAGCTAAATAAACAATTTTATATTTTATTTTAAATGAAATATCGGAATGTTGTGCACGTTAAATCTTTTGTTTATTTATACATCACTTTATAATATCAAACAGTTGGACATTGATGTCTCAGCCTATCTCATTATCAGGAGCAGAGGGATTAGCAATCGCTGTAATAAACCGTGTAGAGGCAACGTAAGTGTCTACTGCTGTAAATGCCGCTGCCCATCTTCTGATTAAAATTTCCCTTTTATTTAAATTTTATTTGTATAGCTATCGCAGTAGTTACGTTGTACCAGTTCTGGCTCACTGAGTCAGAAGTGGTACAAGTAAAATGTTCGTCGAGACTCACGATCTTTTGGCATGCTCTGATCACGAATCTGCGGTCTATTTTTGCGTAGGATGCACGGTTCAGGAGATGTGCAGATCAATTAACTCTTATCTAATTGATATCCGGTGAATGCCTCCACCGTCATTAGCGCTCCATTGTTCTTATCTAATTATCTATTGTTCATTGAATACCGTCCTTATCTATTCTTGCTCAGCGTGGTGCTATTGTATTATACTCCTTTGTTCCTATCTACACTAATCTGAATCATCAATAAAATACATTACCATATAAGCAATATTCGCCACAAACTGAAGTCCACTCATTCTGAATCCTATCAACATTCCAGTTCCATCTTTTACAATTTCTTTTTAAAAACTCTAGATGATATCGTACAGGTGCCCGTCCGAATGAATCACAATATTGACCGACGTCATTCGTATCGATATATAAAGCTACCCAATGTGACCCTGGTTTATCATCTGTATCCAAATTGCATATTATATACGTTGGTACGTGGGTGTACATGGGCAGTTTATTGGCAGCATAAACATTATTTTCTAGAGTGAGGTGAATCTTTTTCAGATGTTGTTGTACATCTAGTGTATCCATGATATTACTGCTATTAGTAGATTATTACAGTACCAATCTACTCAATGACTAACATAGGTAATGATCAATTATAGTGATTTCTAAATATTAAATTGCATTCTTTATGTTATACAAAACGTATTTGAGTCATCAATACACTGAACAAGACACGACACGAAGGACGAAGGAATATTGAGATAAGCAACAGAATGTGAGATAAACTTGTTGACGCATAAAGTTAATTCCACTGCAGAAATTCTTTAGATTAGAATTATCACTTACTGGTACTATATAAGACCAAGCAACTGCAGTCATTGAGTTAGTGTATGGTCGTTTGACCGCAGTGGATCTATCAATACTACCTTTGTGTTACTTCAACGCATCAAAGGCCATGGATGTAAGTGGTTATTCTATTGACAAACTTACTTTTCTTTCTGTTATTTTCTTACGTGTGTATGATTTAGTGTTAACAAATTATATTTAAACATTGTGTGTGTATATGATTAAGCCGTGGTAGATCAGATGGTTAGCGCAAAATGTAAATTTCACAGTACGCGACCCGGGTTCGATCCCCGCCGGCACCAATTAAATTGTTAATTGCAATTTTAAGTGCTGGTTTACCACGTGCTCAGCGGTGAAGGAAAACATCGTGAGGAAACCTGCATGTCTGAGAAAATTACGAAGGCATGTGAAGTTTGCCAACACGCATTGAGACAGCGCAGCGAACATTTCCTAGCCCTAAAACCCTCTCAGAAATGAGAGGAGGCCTGTGTTTAGCAGTGGACTTTAATAGGCTTTAACTTTAACTTTTTTAACTTTTATGATTAAGTGTTAACAAATTGATATTAACATGATAACTGTGTTGTTGCAGAAATCATTGAGCTTCGATGAAAATACCTATAAACAGTATTACTACTCGCCACTCTCCCCTCAAGAAGAGAGTGATAGCATCGTCATTAATAATAACACATACGATGGTGGAAAAAGAAAATCGCAATCGATTGATCATTTTTTTGAAGCTGAATAAAAAATAAAAAAGAGGAAGCTGTTATCATCTACCGTAGCACGAGCCGCTAGAGATGGTGTATCATACATTTCTACTAATTCTGACGACGGAGACCAAGCGACGCATCTCATCAAAATTGAAATGTACGATATGAAGAAGCTATCCAAGATTCCAACTACTGATCATTGGAAACATGCTTCACGAGGATTAAATATTACGTAAAGACTAATAAGGATAGCATCTACGACAACACAAACGCCCTCGTATACAATATTACAAAGACAATAGCAGAAAGTGAAAAAGTTAAAAAATACTTTTTTTAACAATGACAGTCATTAGCTGATCATTAGTGAATGTGATTCTGTTTACTTAAATTACAGGAAGACAAGAGCAGAAGGAAGAGATGAGTGTGGCATACGTGTACAGAACACATAATTGAATAACAAAACTACAACACTGAGTGGAGAAGAATATGCAGTACTCAAGAGCTGAATATTCATTCTTCAGTTCAAAATCTAGCCGGTTGCTCAGTTTCGAAAACTGGCCTTTGCAAAATTTTGGCCATGCAGACAGGACCAAGTGTTTCCATTGTGGTGGTAGTTTAAAAGATTGGGAAGATGATGATGATCCTTGGCAGCAGCATGTTCAGTGGTTTAGTCAGTGTGCTTATGTAAAATTTAAACTCGAACGGATTTTGTATTAGATTAAATAGAATATTTATAAAGAAATAAAAAATAATATATTGCATACAATTTGTTTTATTTAATTTTATAACGTTTCACATAGTTATATACACACAAAATGCATTACACATAACTCATAAAATCTAACACAAAACACATATTATAACCTTAACTACTATAGTCTACAGTAACATTTCTGTTTTTATCTACCTCAATAATATTATCAAACTCAGCATAAACTATACAGTTAATTGTTTGTATTAGTGAGGATTCAAATCGTACTTCTAATCTTACACTACCATGCTTTATGAGATTCCAATGAGCTGATGAGTTGGCTGATAAATCAGGAGTTAAGTCAAATGCTAACAGACAGTAACCTTTGGCATACTGTTCACAAGAAATTCCATTTCCTTCATTAAGAAAGTGAATACCGGTTCCCGACAATAGAGTATAATATGCTGATGTAAATAAACTATTATTAAAAGATGGTTGCAAAGCTTTGAAGGTATTTGTTGACCATCAATATATAAGCTGAAAGAATTAATATCATAGTTTTCAAAGTTAAATGGATTTTTAGTAAGGGAACCAGTAAATGCAGAATTGTTCACAAATCCAATTATACATCTTTTGGGTACCTGCCATAAAAATATATTATCAAGAGTTTTTCCTTGAACACCCGATGGAATTGTTAAAACTTTTACTTCAGCTCAAGTAATAGGATATTTAGCAGTGGTAGAAGCTAAAATTTTTGATGTGCGAGTAATACACTTGGATTAATTCGTGCTCGTCGAACAATAAGAGTTGCAACCGTAATGCAAACTTTACATCGTTTGACTCAGCAATTAAATTAAAACTCTCTCTTGATCGAACCAATTTAACACTCATTTCAACACCATTAATTAAAAATTTATCCTGGTTGAAAATGTCACCGTGAAGATGACCAATCATTTCTATTTCCTTACTTTCACTAATCAATTCGTCTTTTAACAAATCCTATGTTTTTACCATCCGTAGAATCCATTTTTCCTACTGTATCATCATACCAAAGACTACAAGTAAGATGAGATTGTTTAGCAGCAGGAGCATAGTTTAAAAGAGTTTCCATGTATGCTCGATAAGCATAGGTATTATTAGGTGGTGATACAAGTTTCTGGTTTAAATAAACATCAAGTTGACTAAAAAGTGAATGCAGCCAATTATTTACAGGTGCTACTTTGACTTGTAGTAGATATCAAGTTAGTTGAATCTTGATTTAATACTTTTGCCTTTATGTGGAGTAATGTATGAGACAAATCTATGTAGTCATCGCCTGTCCCAGGAAACTTGAAACTCGATAGGTCCATCATCACCAAGAGATGAAATTGGTTTATAATGATAATGATTTCTTATATTTACGCGAACACTATACATGATTAAAACTACTTTTACGGATTTTATCGCGTTTATTTTTACTTTTTATTTACTTTTTTTTTGATTCCCGACGTTTCGGGCGCTTTCAAGCACCCATGGTTACGACTATATATATGGTATATAGTCGTAACCATGGGTGCTGGAAAGCGCCCGAAACGTCGGGAATCAAAAATAAAAGTAAATAAAAAGTAAAAATAAACGCGATAAAATCCGTAAAAGTAGTTTTAATCATGGTTTATAATGAATCCACAATCCATTTTCAATGCTAGTTTGTGTAGACGGTAGTGCAAACAAATCCAATTCTGACTTAACGCATTCACAAGAATGATTATGAAGGAAAGATATAATTTATTGATAATTGTTTTTTTTTTTTTTTTATTTTATTTTAAAATTAAAATATAATTATCCCGTAGACGAAACAGACATAAACTTTCTTCCTCCCGGCCGGCGTGCTGAAAAGGTTCGAAAAGCGGGTTTTTAAAAATAAAAAACGGAAAATTCCTTAAAATTTTTATGTGTATGTTCGCGTAATATAAGAAATCATTAGGCATATTTAATTTGAAAATATATCTTTGATATTTTTTTAGTTTTAGACCAAGTTTTTTCGCAGCTTTCACTTTAGCAGTTAATGGTGGAATGAACGAGGTCAATCGTTTTCTATTAGTTTTATACCCAGATCCTGTCATGTTAAATTGATCAATTTTCTCATCAGCCTTTCGTTTTAAATTCGTACTAACTTGCTTTAGACGATCTTTTATTGAGGCTTCCATAGGACGCGCTTGAACCATATCCGATAAAAGTCCTACTTTAGCGCCTAATGCCTCCTTACCAATCACTCGAGCACCACTTGAAATTAAAGGTAAAACTGATCTAAATAACCCCCCTAAGAAGCTGCCAATACCATGACCGAGTCGGTATGGTGAACCCTTATAAATTACTCCAACTCCTGACCCAGCTTGAT